TGCTCAAGATTCACCAATCTTAATCTTCAGACTTATGCAAATTGTCGTTTCATATTTCCATTTACCAATAACCTTTGCACCTAGGCCACCCTTCATTATCCTCAGATCATACTCATCACATCTCTTAAGTCAGCGCTCTCTTCCAACATTCCTTTCTAGTTCTGTCCCTGGGCTAATAGTAGCTGTAACTCTAATGCAACTAATGAGAACATTAAGAACAGATTTTTGGTGGTAGATGCTTTTGTCTAGATTCAGTCCCTTCTCTGCTAACTGCTGGCTTTGAACATAGAGTTTCCTTATTTATAAAATATAAATTATAAAGACTGTGAGAATCATAGAACAACGTTAAAAACTGTATTAGTCTCTATTCCATTGTCAATGTTTATTCCTTTCAGTAGGCTAATGTTAATTTCAAAGGAACCCAAATCTTATAGTTAGAACAATGGTATAAATACTGCATAGGGTCATTGTTGTAAAACAGGACTGACATATAGGGGTTGAGGGGGAGACTGAGAAAGATGGGATAAATTATGCATACTGCATTGAAACAGATGAGAGAGAGAACTGTTTAAAAGGTATATAGGATTAGGTATTATTGTCATGACATGAGTCCAGAATGAAGGCTGCATTGGTGGAGTGGACTTGGGGGGAGGGATTGAATAACAATGAAGGAATTTTTCATTTACATTTTAAAGAGGAGAACGAACCAGAGGGGAGGGGAGGGCAGGGATAAAAGTGCAACAATGAATAAATGGCAATCCAAAATTTCTGTAAATTTTCATTAGAATTAATAATAATAAATTTTAAAAAAGAAACTTGAGAACTCTAGTTGAACTGTTTAATATCAAGAAGGAGTTATCTGCCTTGGGCTCTTATTTTACAGCACAAAATAATGTTGTTCGGTGCCATCAAGTCAACTCCAATGCAGAGCAGTCTTACGCACAGCAGAGTGCACCTCTGCCTGAACCAGCCCTGTCCTCACAAGCTCTCATGCTTAATTGAATTAAGCTCCTTCTCTCTGTCTCTGTGAGTTGCAGTGAGCAGCTTGCTGTGAGTTGCAGTGGCAGTGAGCTCTGTGCACAGCAGCTGTGTAATCAGTGAGTCTGGTAGACCTTCCTGGAACAGGAACCCTGGTGGCACAGTGGATAAGCACTTGGCTGCCACCCAGAAGTTTTCAGACTCACTGGTCCCTCTATGGGAGAAAGGTACAGTTGTCTGTTCCATAAAAACCTATAACCTTGGAAAAACTATGGGGCTATTCTATTATGCCCTATAGGGTTGATTACTTGGAAGTGAGTGGAAAGTGGTGGGTTTAGTCTTATTTTTGGAGAAGAGTTTTAAGGGGCTTGGATGGCACAGAGGTTAAAGATATTGGCTACAACTGTGGCAATTGGACAATTAAAACAGACATTTGGGGGGGAAAGAAGAACGAACTGGGAAGGAGGGTAGAGAAAACAGTGCAACAATGAATGAGAACCCAAAATCTCTGTAAATGTTCATTAAAACTAATAAAATTTAATAATAATTTTTTTAAAAAAGATATTGGCTACAAGCCAAAAAGGTCAATGGTTTTGAAATTCCATAGTATTTCAGTTGCTTCACATGCTTGTAGAATTTGGACAGGGAATAAAGACTAAGCAAACATTGATCCCTTTGAATTTTAATGTTAAAGAACACTGAAGAACACCATAGACTGCCAAAAGAACAGACAAATCTGTCAGGGAGAAGCGCTTCCAGAGCACTCCTTTGCAAGAAGAATGCTGAGAGCTGGTCTCACGTATTTTGGCCATGTGGCCAGGAGAGCTCATATTACCTTAGAGAGGAGTCTAATCACTCAGTTGGAGAAAGTGTGGCGGAATGCTGCTATAAATACTTGCAGCCTTGGAAAACCTAGTAGGTAGATTCATACTGTTCCACAGGATCCTTACGAGTGGCAAGTGGCCCTGTGGCAGGCTTTTTGGTTCATTTTTGTTGTTTGATTTTGGTTTGGGTCTTTTTGTTTTATGCTGATGGGTAGGGAAGTAGCATCTTACCAAAACAAGGCCTCAAAGAAAAAGAAACTTGTAAACTTATGTTTTTCCTTATGAAAACTTTTGCTGGACTTGTAATAGAACCTGTAATTAAATAACAACTAAAATGTTCCTTAATCTCTTATATTCTCTCTTACAAGTATTTTGTTATATAATTCGCTGAAAAAGACTACATAAACTTGCCTCCAGTGAGACTGAATTAGTTCACTCAACATAATGCTCTCCAGCCTTTCCCTTTATATAGAATTTTACGAAGTCGTTGCTCCTGCGTGCTGCATAATATTACATTGTATGAACGTACCACAATTTCTCATTCCGTTCATTTGTTGGTGGACATTTGAGCTGTTTCTGTTTTTTTTGCTATCATGAATAATGCATTGGTGTACTAATCTCCATTTGGGTCTCAGTTCATTTTCCTCGGAGTATATTCATTCCTAGCAGAGAAATAGCTGGGTCGTACGGAATTTCTTTGTTCAGCTTTTTCAGGAACAACACATGTACAAAAATCCAAAGGGGCCAAAGGAGGAAGGCGTGGGGCTGCAGGGGGCAGAAATCACGAGGTCACAGAATTTGGTGGGCAGAGGGAGGGGTAGAGGAATCAGGAAAGGCGGGGTATTGGTGGGCACGGATCAATCAATGACAGTTCCCTGTAATACTTTGCCTTTTTTGGTTACCCTTGATATTTCAGTATTTTATATAATACAATCATGCTGAACAACCTTAGGGACCTACCATTTTGTTTTGCATTTATCCCTATACCAGAGTTTAGTTTTTAAGAGAAATATCCAGGAGCAGAATTATTGAGTAACAAAATATTTATGAATTTTTATATACACCATCATATTATTTCTTCTTTTTTTCATCTCCCTCAAAAAAAAAAAACACCCACACCCCAATTTAGAAGCATAAGCCACCTTGAAACAGAGGCTATTGCAAATCAGAGTTGCTTCTGAATTACCGAATTCTGGTCTAAATAAACTATTTCTTGTGTATTGTTTTCCATTTGTGAAAAGGTCGTGAAACTGTAGAATTACACAGAGCAGATGGCATTCTATGTGACAAAGGGCTTAAAAGTGACAATTCAGTCACCTTGAAATATATGTAAGCTGCCTTCATCGTGCTAAGCATTGTAATTGCAAAGCACTTCACTTGGGAATTCGCTAGTAAGCTTGAGCTGCCTAATTAGTCTTCCTACCTGACACTACATGAATTCAGTGGATACCAGCAGCTGCTGTGTGTGGCCTTCCTCTGACTTGGGTGGAGAGGGTATGTTGATGCGTGCCTACTGGGAGGGGAGAGCACACATGAAAAGATTCCTCTTTTCCCCACAGTGACTTTGAGGTCTGCCTTGCTTTATCCTAAAATTCAGCATTCCCACTTCTTAGCCTGTAAAGTGCTGCTCCCTGAAATGGATTTCCCAGGAATCTTTGGACTTCATCCAGAAGATTTCATTCCAGTAGTGTCAAGCATGACACTACTGTTGCTCTTGTTTTCTTATTCTTTTGTTTGTTATTTGTGTGAAAGTTTACAAAGCACATTGGGTTGTGGGGTTTGTTGTGTTTGTTTTTTTTTTTTAATTCAGCCATTCATACCATTTTGTCCCATTGTATCAATTCTAATCCATGCCTTGTCTGAGCATCCAGTCATTCCATGTTATCTGTCCTTTCACCAGCCCTAGTAGGTGTTTATGATTACTGTTGCTTTGTTTACTGAACACATGCAGAAAGCTTTGTTTTGCCACACACCAGTGGAGAACACAGGCACACAAATGGGTGCACAGATGTATATACACACACAGCAAATCTAGCCTGGCGTTATTCTCAACTCCAGAGTGCTTACTTCTTTACAGCAAACAGAACAATAGAGACTTTGACGGTTGCTTTGTACCCTTTCCTGCATCCTCTTATTCTAGTGTAATAAAACTCTGCCAGTTTTCCAGCTTTGCGTGATGGCAGAGGTTTGTGGAGATAAGCACTTAGGATTGGCCGATTTGTCAACCTTTGAAATGTTTGTTATCATTAAGGAAGCCTCATTTCCGTAGCTTTCAGCTACCTCTACCCATGTTGACTTTTCTAATCCACAGGACAACTAATATGTGTGACAACATAGAATTATTAGAGCCTGTTTGTCTCTGAGCTGTGGAAACCATTTGTCCCGGCTGCATCCCACATCTGCCTGCCTTCTAGCAGTGCACAGTCAGTAATTCCTGGCTGGTAATTCCTCCACTGATGCCTTAACCTCAACAGCAGCTTATGGACCAGAATCACACCAGGTAATCCTAAGTCAAGTCCATCTAAGCACAGAATGCCTCACAACCAAGCAAACCAGTTTTACAACTCAGTCGAATTTTAATCTGGCCTCATACATGCAGCTCAAAGGGGGGGAAAATGCAAAGAAATGGAAAACCTGGAAGCCTGAATAACAAGCACCTCAATTTCCGTAGATCTGCCTGCTTGATCCAAGTAAGCAGTGCTACATGTCAGTGACGGTGCTAAGGAGAAAAGGCTCAGATGGGGTCCCAGGCTCTCCCAGCGGCCAAAGGAATGTGGGTCATACAGCAGAATCACTCCAGGGCACAAGGCAGCCAGGCTTTGTGCAACTCCCTTGCATATCACAGCCCCAAATCCCAGCAAAATACTACTTATCCCGGAGAAACCACCAGTACTTTTATGGGTTCCACTAAGTATACAGAAGACCATCGCTGTTTTTCCTATTCATATTTACACAGGGAGGAAGTGGGGAACGAGCTCAGGGATATTTGCCGCACCTGCCTCCTGCCAACACCCACTTCCCGTGAACTTCCTAGGAGAAATGCACCAGAGCAAAGTCAGGAAAATCACTTGGGCAGATTATTTTGTGCATTCCATGCCCAGCATCCCGATTTCTAAGCCCCATTTTGCAAAACCCTAAAACAGCAAACCCCAGCGCCATGTCCTGTCCCCATTAAGAATAGCAGCCCCGTCCACTTACCTGTGATCAGGATGGTCTTCTGTTGCACAGGTAACAGCTCTTGGCTAGATATGTACTTATACAAGAAGAAACATGACAAGGAGAAGAGAACCAAGCCCCAGCAAAGAGAGGAACCAAGCAGGCAAGTGATTCCCCAGAGACCCGCCAAGCAGATGGTGCGGTTCCACATCTGCCCCGGACTCTTCTTGAGTTTTCCAAAAGCCATTCCTCCCAGCACAGCAGTGATGGCCAGGCAGAGCCCCGCTGCAGGGTCAGAGCAGACAGATCCCATTCTCAGCTACCAGCGAGCCCAGTGGGCAAAGGCTGACAGGAGGGGGTCTAGGCTGTGTGAACACAGAGGCAGGGAGGGAGGCGGAGAGAAAATCTTTGGCACTCTTTGAATGAGCAGGAATTAAGTATACTCGAGCACACTCATTGTCCCAGGGGGTAAACGGATGTGAAGTCAGTTATAAATCCTAGGAGGTGTCCTCTTTCAGCATTTCTTCCACTCCCTGCACATGCTCCCCTGCATGTATATACTCATGTGTGCATGTGCACAGATTATTCATTAAAGGGCAGCCCCACCTTTGGACAAATAACATAGCTGGATAATGATTGACAGGATTAGAACTAATCAGTAAACAGTAAAATGCTGAATTGGTAGGAAAGGTATTGGAAGTTAAAGGTTATCACTTTCTATATCCATGTCTCCATCTGAGCTTGGTGAAAGGGTTAATAAACGTCATGGATTGAATGATGTCCCCTCGCAAATATGTGTCAGCTCGTCTGGGCTATGGTCCTCACTATTCCTCAGTGATGTGGTAAAGAATTGTGGCCGTTACAAATGAGGTAATCATCCCATGATGTGGTTGAATGTGGTAGAGGGATTAAAGGGGAAAGATACAACATTCTCACTCGGGCCCCAGCCCTCATCCAGAGTAAAGGGGGCTTCCCTGTGCTGCTGCACTGATGAATAATAAATTAAAAACCAGCCGTTTCTAACAGCCCATAAGAATGTGAGACATTTTAGGATATACTCAGAACCGACTCTTTTTTTTTTATCTTTAAAAGTATTTATATAAACATAATTTATAATACTTCTCTTTTTTTCCTTTATATACAGTCACAGAGTCGTAGTTATACATCTAGGATTTCCTCAGCTGTGCCTCCACAGCGCAATCTGTACCGACCAGTTCTCCAACTTATAGTAGGGTCCCATAACGCTGACAAGAAGATGTATATCGTCATGGATTCACGGATGAACCAAGCTACAGCATAATCAAGTTTTGAAAAACACAGTGTCCCGCCCTGGACACCCCTAAATTGAATGTAGTCAAATATAAACCACGCCAGGCAATGACACATGAAAAATACCATAATATCCCATTGAAATACATGGTGGGCAGCCCATCCAATAATTAAACTGGCAACAAAGCACTCTGATATTGGCTCACAAATGATTGTAGCAGGAAGCATGTTAATTCGTAATTTGGCCCATCTGATCATTCTGGATTGAAATTGAGAAATAGAATATGAGCCAGAGTTTTGCATTGCAACTTGAGTGGATATCGCAAACTTCCAACCTCGGTCAGCTATTGCTTTAGCCATAAAGTAATCAGAACCGACTCTTAGCCGACCTTCCAGCCAGTCCTCAGAGGCGATAGGAGAGACCGCCCATCTTTCTCCTGTGGAGCAGTGCTGGGATTAGAAACACATGTCTCTAGGTTGGCAGCACAACTCCTTAACCACGAAGCCACCAGAGCTCCCTGTTGGGGTTGTAATTACGTGCTTTCAAGTTAGCTGTGTCTCACAGTGACCCTATCCTGCACCATCCTCATTGTCTCTGCCATGTTCAAGTCCAATGCTGTAGTCACTGTGTTAATCCATCTCCTTGAGGATCTTCCTCTCTTTCAGCGACCCTCCACATTTCTTAGCATAATGTCTGTTTTCCAAGTACTGGCCCTTTCCAATAACATGCTCAAAGGATGTGAGAGAAAGTTTCATCATCCTTGCCTCCAAGGACCACCTTGCTTGTACTTTCTTCAAGATAGATTTGCTTTTTCTTTTGGCAGTCTTTGGCAAATTCAGTATTCCTTGTCAACACAATTGTGTTGACAGAATAATTCAGAGGCAGCAGTTCTTCTGCAGTCTTCCCCATTCTTTGTCCAACTGAAGCAACTGAGAAAATCATTACTTGCATCAGGTGTACCTTAGTCTTTAAAGTGACATCTTTGCTCTTAGGCACTTTAGAGAGACCCTTGACAGTAGGTTTTTTCCAGTGTAACACATAATTACTATATCAGACATTTAGTAATGTTGTTGTTGTTATGTGCCATCGAGTTGTTTGTGACTCATAGCGACCCTATGTACAAGAGCCCTGAATGCTGTTCTATCCTGTGCCAACTTCACTATCTCAAACACATTCATTCCCTCCACTCCACTCACAGAATCGATCCATCTCATCGAGGCTCTTCCTCTCCTGCACCGTCCCTCTACTCTCCCAAACATGATGTCCTTTTCCAAGGACCAGTCCCTCCTTGCAACATGCCCAAAGTATGTCAGACGAAGCTTCAGAATTCTTAACTCCAGGGAACATTCTGGCTTCACCTTCTCCAGGACAAACCTGTTTGTTCTCCTAGCAGTCCGTGGTATATTCAACACTCTTCTCCAGCACCACAACTCAAAGACATCAATTCTCTTTCTATCATCCCTACTCACTGTCCAACTCTCCGATGCATAGCATGTAATTGCAAAGACTGTAGCCTGGATCAGGCACACCTTAGTCTCCAGCCTGACGTCGTTGCACTTCAGTACTCTTGAGAGGTCCCTCACAGCTGACTTTCCCAATGCAATTCTTCTCCTGATTTCCTGGCTGCTGTTACCAAGAGTGTTGACTGTGGAACCAAGTAAACGAGAACTGTTTAACTATCTCAATCTCTTCACCATCCATACTGATGCTGCCAATTGACCCAGTGGTGAGAATCTTTGTTTTCTTGATATTGAGCTTCAATCAATATTGAAGACTGCAGTCCCTGACCTTCTGCAGCAAGCGCTTCAGGTCCTCCTCAGTTTCAGCAAGCAGGGTTGTGTCATCTGCATAATGCAGGTTGTTGATGATTCTTCCACCAATCCTGATGCCACATTCCTCCTTGTACAGCCCAGCGTCTCGGTTGATCTGTTCTGCATACAGATTGAAAAGGTATGGAGACAAAATACATCCCTGACGGACCCCTTTCTTGATTTTGAACCATCCAGTGTCTCCTTGCTCTGTTCTGACGACTGCCTCTTGGTCCAAGTGTAAGTTTCGCATTAGCACGATCATATGTTCTGGGATTCCCATTCTTCTCAGAGTCAGCCATAGCTTGTTGTGATCCACACAGTCAAAAGCCTTTGCATAGTCAATGAAGCACAGATAGACATTCTTCTGGTATTCTCTGCTTTCTGCCAAGATCCATCTTACATCAGCTATAGTATCCCTAGTACCACGACCTCTTCTAAATCCAGCCTGCACATCTGGCAGTTCTCTGTTCACATACTGCTCCAAACATTTTTGAATAATTTTCAGCAGAATCTTGCTTGCATGTGATATCAATGATACCTTAGTTAAAAATGGCTTTATCTTAACTTAGCAATAATAATGTTATCTTTCTTATAGAACTAAAATTCCAATAGGTTCCTCTGAGAATCCCTTTTGTCACCATTTTTATATCTCGCTTGGCAATTTATTACTAAACCTCTTTTTTTGACCCTTCTCCATTTGCTGCCATCATTTATGGCCAGGAGGTAAGTATCCTTGTCACTTATCACTGTCTGTGAGTCCCCTCCAGTGAGTTTCTGCGTGTGTAAATCTTACTAGGAGGAGGCTACCCTTCTGTCTCCCAGAGGAGCCACTAGTAGATTTGAACTGCCAGAGAAGACAGCTCAACGCACTACTGACTGTACCACCAGAGCAACTCTGGTTCTTCATAAATCCCCGTAAATGTCTTGCTCTTCCTTGTTTACTCCATCAGTTTTCCTTCAAAAATGGGTACTAGCAGTAATGTTAATGATGGTCTGCTTTTGCGAGGCTGGACAGCAGGGCATCACCCGCCCCTGGAATATGGGTGAGACCACATCAACCAGTCTGAGACATGACTGCCAAGCAGACCTTCCAGACAGGAGAAGACTCTGTAAAAATATTTCACCTTTTGCCATCTGGCTCCCTCTTTGCTGTTTCTAAGGTGAGGACATCAAACCCTGTCCTCTATATCCAGAGCTCAGAAAAGACTCCCTGCTATTGGGTCAGTTCTGCCTCACAGCAGCTTCCCATCAGCTTTCCAAGGCTGTAAATCTGAGTGGGAGGAAGGAGACTGTCCCTCCTTCTCCCTAGGAGTTGCCGGGGGATTTGAACCAGCAGAGACTCCCAACCTTTAGGTGAGCAGCACCACACACTATGAACTACACCCCCAGAGTGCCTTCTCCTGCCCATAGACTGTACTCCCTATTTCTGACCCCCCACTTTTCCCAGCATGATGTCTTTTTCCAAGAACTAGCCCCTCCAGATAACATACTCAATGTGTGTGAGATAGCTCACCATCCCAGCCTCTAAGGAGCATCCTAACACTTTCTCCAAGACCAGTTTGTCTGTGCTTTTGGGCAGTTCATAGGATATTCAGTACTCTTTCATAGCACCGCAGTTCAAAGACATGGACATTCCCCCCCACTTTTGGTCTTCCTTATTCATCGTCCAACTTCCAGAGGAGTGAGAGGCATTTGAGAAGCCCACAACGTGGATCTGGTGCGCCTGAGTGTAAAGTGCCAAATGAACTATAGATTTGCCCTAAACCACAGCCTGCCACTAATAAGTGCCGAGGAGTAAGTGGAGGCCACAATGAGGTTCATAGGTTGTAGAGCACTGAGAGGAGGTCTAGCTTGGGCAGGAATTGGCTCAGCATCATGTTCTGTAAGAAGGTCCCTGGATGGCACAAACGGTTTGCTTGCAACTGCTAACCTAGAAGTTGGTGGTTCATATCCACCCAGTGAATCTCAGACAATTAGAGCCAAGAAAACCCTATGAAACATTTTTACTCAGTGACACATATAGTTCCATGAATGGTGTGCACAGGGTGCTGGCTACCAGTCAAAACATCAGCAGTTCAAATCCACCAACTGCTCCCTGGGAGAAAGATGAGCCTTTTCCTTCAGTGCAGATTTATACTCTGGGAAACCCAACAGAAGCCTAAATCAAATCAGTGGCAGTAGATTTGATCAACAGCAACAGAGACCTAGACAGAAGTGAGGAATCAGTGTCTG